ACACACACACCGACGTGGTATAGCAGTTAGGCACGTCGCTGTCGCACACAAGAGAACAGAGTTCGAATCCCGAGAAGGGAAAATTTTTATCGAGTATACCGATCTTTCTGCTGGGGTATTGTTTCTTCCAACCGTGGGTTAGCCTTGTCAGGCAGGGCCTGTTTAATAATGTTCTCTCCTCTCTTTTTCGGGAAGGGGGGGGGGGGCATCAACAAGACCAAAGGCCACAGACTATAGTATACATTTGCTGGTAGATATAATTGCAGCTCTGCTGTGAACCCCCCCCTCTCTTACGTTTTTATTGCATTCTATAATTATTTAGAAAGGTTATACATTTATTAATAGAAACACTTACTTCTTCCTGACCTATCAGTGTATTTAGTAGAGGCACGTCTTTTTCCTGTTGAAATATTTTTTTTTTAAAACATTATTTCAATAAGGGCATAAATTGTGCTCTATTTTTCAGGTATCCAATGGGCTAACCGACAATTCTAGTAGGTAAAGCAGATATGATGATTTGGAGAGAACGTCTATATACGAAACACCTCAATAAAACGATGGTGAGCCTTGAAATGTCACGAAAACCGATACTGTTTCTATACGTTTCGTTAGGAGTTAGAATGAAGATCGCCCACAAACCAGTCCATCATAATACTATCTAAGGTATCAACATGCACTACATTTTTCCTTTATGAGGGAGATATCGAGGGTGTCATGTTCATTCAGGAAATGTCACGTGGTCATCTGGTAAGTGTTCCCTAAAAAAGCATAATAAAAATGTGTCCACATGCGTAGTTTTTTCCACCAACTTTACTCCAAATGCACAAAGTGGACGCCATTAAGAGCTAATGTTGAAATGACCCCTTGCACTCGGTTAAGATTACAGCTGCACTGCACTGTTTTGCTCTTCTGGCATGCTCCTTCTGAAAAAAGACCTCTCACCCCACCCCTTTCCGCTTGGTACCGGGTATCCCAGAGGACAATTAAACAGTGGCACTCTTGGAACAGAATAGGTTGAAATGGAATGAAGTTGGGAGGAGTTAGATTTCTGTTGCTAATAAAAGGTCCAGTAACTTTTTAATGGATTCTGAAAAGAGGGGCGGAGCAATCATTTGTGTGCCAAGATTTAAAAGGGTCATTCCATAAAAAGAGAAACTGCAGTGACACAAGAGAAATGGGAGTTATGAAATGATAAAACACATCATAGATAGTGATAACGCTTTTTTTTAGAGAGGTTTTCTTTCTTTTGTTACAGACACAATTTGTCTACATATTAACCAGTAACTCTTCCTGGATTATTCCTTAGATTTCTACGAGCACGTTGGTGTATTATATTCAAAAGTAATACCAGGATGGTGCCACGTGTAGCTTGGCGTTACAAAAAAACATACATCTGCTGCAAATCTAACTAATTGTGAATTATATTGAATCTGTGATCTCCTCCCCCCCCCCTCCCCCACAATCAGGGCAGAGCTACTGACTGAAGTTGTCTTTAGGCCAGTCCCAAAGGGAGAATAAAAACATGTTCTTATGGAGAGTAGAATTGCAAATGGGCTGATTTATCAATGTCATGCTCATACTATGCCGGAACAGCATGGGGAGAACTGCTGCTTTTTCCTTCGTCATCGTTTCTATCGTCATTTTATCCTCCACTTTTTTTGTATGTTTGCCATTCTCTTGGGAACTACTTCTCCCAGGGTGCCTTGATAGTCCAAGCAGACTTTGTGCTGTTGAGGCAAGAGAGGACAACAGAGTAAGCCTGATTTCCCCGTTTGCACTTCTCTATTGACATCCACCCCGTGGCGCTCGTATGACCCTATGCAGTGGGAGCGCCGTAAAACCTTCCTAAGATTAAAACTACAACGAATCTGTGATCATGAACAAAATAACAGTCTGACGAGATCGGCAAATCGGGACAGGAACTTTACTTACGTTTTGACGAGGCTTGTTGGCGCCGCCTTGTGGTGTAATTTCCTGTGTCCAGTGGTGGTGATGTCCACCATTCCTCTGTGCCGTCCGGCGCCTCGCAGGGTACATTACAGATTCCTGTTTCGGGGTGGCACCCACACAAGCACTTACCACAACGTTTTGAGCAGTTCGCGCCAAGTCTGCCCTTTGGACAATCTGACAGAATAACCATCATATTAACGAGCTTGTGCCAGCTGAACAGAAGAAAAGTTCGTTCACAGATATGTTAATAACTTTCTTGTTTCTGTTTCAATTGACATGAAAATTGACCGAAAACTAGAACATACAGCGGATTATGTTGTTGTTGTTTTGTTTTTTTTATAAGAATTTCTGTTGCACAACGAGAAGATGATAAATCAGTTAGCCACTGTACAGCGTGCTTTTTCAGTTCAGATGTATCAGCAAACAAAATCTCCCAAATCGACCTGTTCGAGATTTGCTCGGGAAAACGGTATAGATATCTGTGTAACAAATATAATTTTCCTAGCGAAAGGTTCATTTTGTAAAAGGCTGCAATTTTTTAACGTTTTTAGATAAGATCTGAATTCTAAAATTAGTAACGCACGGTAGACAGCCCGTAAAAACAATGCACTCTTGAAAAGGTTAAGGTAGTCCGTCATTCGGTGAACTCAGAGCGACACCTCGTAATCTTACCAAAATCAGAAATTCTAAAGGGGGGGGGGGGGCTTTGCTCTTTAATTTGTTGATGGCAAAGGGAGAAAATACCAGCGCTTCCAACAAGATAGGACTGTTCCTGATGACGCCAGAATTTTCTGGCTGGGTCAAAAACCGTTTTGATTACAAGATTCAATCCGCCTAAGCTTAAGAGAGGGGGGGGGGGGCTACACCCCCAAAAGTCAAAGTTCAGCTCAAAATTATGGAATTTGAGCTGTAGACATTTTTAGCTTCTTCAGCCTCTCCTACAACTATTTCATAGCATAAAAAACCCCAAAAAACCGTATTTTTTTCCATACCTGGCATGTTTGTCACCGCCGTTTCTTCATAAAATCAGTATTTTATTTTTCTTTATCGTTCGTTTTCTCAAAACTCGACTTTTCTTTATACTTTTTTTAATAACTCTACCATTTTTCATCTAATCTTCATGAAATTTTCACAGAATGCAGAGAAGCTGTAATACTAAATATTTGTCTGTTGAAATTCGATATTTCGAAAAGATTTTGTTGGTGGTGTCTGGAGTGTGGATTTACATGGATTTTTTGCAAACTTGAATGCTACATCAGGAAAAAATTCATTAAAAATTTTCTAATTTGTTTAGGAAAAAAACAACAGACAGATTTTTAGATCTAAAGTTTGTAAACACGCATACAAAAAAAACCCAATCAATTTCCATGAGCAATAAGTGCGGTATTCATTATGTAAGACATGTCAACAAAATCCAATATGGCCGCCATATCCATGGAAACAACACTTTTTCTCAAATTTGATAGCTGATTTTGAGACTCCTTACTATGCTTGTTATATGTGTGAAATTTGGTAAAATTCGGTCTCGTAATAAGAGAGATAGCCTGCAGGTGTAGGCCCCCCCTCCCCCCCCCCCCCCCTTTAACTGGACCCCACACAATCCGGACTTTCACCATCGAGGTGTTTGAAGGACAAACTGTGTGGGAAAACCATCGAAAGTATCCAAGACGGCACAACAGAGATTTCTCTCGAGGAGTATCAACGCATTACTGTCAATATCACTCAGTGTGACAGAATGTGCTTTACTCGAAATCAGGGGTACCTAGAAAATATCTTGTAACTTTGTTTGTGGCCATCACATTCTATTGTGATTAATAGATAATAAATCCAGACGGATGTTCCACGTTTCTGCAAGCCTTGGTATTTGCACCTATATTCATAACGGTTTTATTGGCATTCTTTTGGAAAAACTTTGCCGACAACCATAACGACCTGATGACGCAGGTCTCCCAGAAGCACCTGTAAGGAGAGGCAAGGATACTCGGAAAAAGTAAACAAATACCTGTCTTTCTGTACATAATCTACAATCACCAAACTCGATTTACAGAACTAAAAATGTTGCTCTTTGTTGATTATGCACATATAGGTCTAAATTAAATCCACTGCAATCTAAATGATGAATATAAATGCAACTGGGTTATGTACCTTGTCGTATTAGTCTTTTTCATCTATGTCTGTAACTGGTGCTTCTGTAAAACACTAACTATATATATATATATATATATATATATATATATATATATATATATATATATATATATATGTGTGTGTGTGTGTGTGTGTGTGTGTGTGTGTGTGTGTGTGTGTGTGTGTGTGTGTGTGTGTGTGTGTGTGTGTGTGTGTGTGTGTGTGTGTGTGTGTGTGTGTGTGTGTGTGTGTGTGTGTGTGTGTGTATTTGCCCAATTTGTCTTGTTGAAACTGTTTTGAAAATCGTATGTCTTGCACCAAGTCCGTTCTACAGGAGGTTCATTATGACCTGCATTGCCATGAGGTGCGAAGTTGCGTTCTTGACTGATCTGCTAGCCTTAGGGAGGCTGTTCACTTAGGGGATAAGATATTGTTGGTTTTTTTACGTCCGGTGCGTGTGAATACCCCAAGCGGTTGGAAATTTTCTATGTTATGTACGCATAATCACTGGAGTCGGTTTGGGTGTCAACATGCATGGTTTTAAGTCATTACACATCTATATCTGGCACATTCTGATCGTATGATTTTGAAATGTGAAGACTTCAGAGTACCCTTGCCAACTCTTTTGGTATCGGTATGAAAAGAAATTATAACACAAGCAAAAACGAATTATCCAGTAACCGTACTGTAATAATCCCGGGGCAAACACAACATTCACACCCACCTGAAGAACAATTTCTACCCCAGAAACCAGGTTTGCAGCCGGGAGGCAGGCAGGTTCCTGACACGTGATCACACGTACCCTCCCTGCATCCACTGCACTCTTGAAGACATCGCCGACCATAGGTGCCATTGGCGCATTCTAAGATAGAGATAATATCGCACCATATGGGTTAGTTTTTGTTTTGTTTGAGTAAAGAGAAACACATAAATCAACAATATCGGTTATTTAGAACAGGGAAAGGATGGGAATGAAAGATATAATAACGAAACAACAGAAGGAAAGTAAATCATTTTAAGAAAAAAAATGTGACACCCCATTCTCTTAACTTCCAACTCACATTTACTTTACTATATAAGATAAACTGTACAATAACCTTTTCTTTACAGGACTGAATAAAATAATATTTATGGTATTGTGTTTTAGAAATTGGGCGGACGGCACAATTCCTCCAATGATATAAAATTTTCAATGAAAATTAGATCTATGCGCATAATATCAAAGGATGTTCACTGAGGCATTTCAATTCTACCCTCCTCCTTTCTGTCTTTCTTCACAATACATTCTTCCTCACAAAAGTTATATCGCAATTTTGTCTCATGGGGTGTAGGCCGAAGTCTAAGACTGGCAGGAAACAAAAGTCAGAGAGATGAAAAATATCTTCGATTTTTATTATTATTATTATTATTATTATTATTATTATTATTATTATTATTATTATTATTATTATCATTATTATTAGTAGTATTATTAGTAGTAGTAGTAGTATTATTATTATCATCATTTTTGTTATTATTATTATTATTATTATTATTATTATCGTTATTATTATTATTATTATTATTATTATTATTATTTTTATTATTATTAGTAGTAGTAGTATCGTTATTATTATTATTATTAGTATTATTATTTTTTTTTTCTTTTTTTAAATTATTATTATTATTATTATTATTATTATTATTATTATTATTATTATTATTATTATTATTATTATTATTATTATTATTATTATTATTATTACAAGACATCTTTCCCGCCTTTGCCACAATATGAAACGGAAGAAGTCCCCAGTAAAATATGAAATGGCAAATGGCAGAGCGAAAACATCTGAGAGCTTCGATTGACAGTAAAAACCACGAAACCTGAAAAATCAAACGGTTGTTTCCGAACTTTGAAAATATGCCCACGTAACCCTTTGAGCCAATTCTTGTCTGAATCGTATTTTTGTAGTTATATGGGCATCTGTGTAAAAAGTTTTTACTGACCCCACAAACGGGCTTAGCTCCATTATAATATTATTTTATTATTATTATAATTTTCATTAATTTTTATTTCTATTATTATTATCATTATTATCATAATAATAGTAATAGATAATAGATAGCATTTGTATAGCGCATATCCCCGCTCAACAGCAGGCTCTATGCGCTTTACACTATATTATTACCCCAGCAGACCATAGAACACTCCGAAACATTCTCAGCTTCCCGAGAAGCATACAATCATTATTATCATTATTATCATTAGTAGTAGTAGTAGTAGTAGTAGTAGTAGTAGTAGTAGTAGTAGTAGTAGTAGTGTTATTGTTGTTATTATTTCTCGTTATTATTCTTTTATTATTATTATTATTGTTGTTATTATTATCATTATTATTAATGTTATTATTATTAATATTTTTATTATTATTATTATTGTTATTGATATTAATATTATATCATTGTTATGATTATTTTTATTATTATTATAGAAAAAAATAAGATAGGAAATAATCTAGCGATTAGCGTTCAAGTGTATGAATCCCAAGCACGATGTATTAATATTATTTGAGCATATATAACCACACCAACTATTCTGCCTTTTCTAGTTGTAGGTCTGTACAATCATTAAGAACCCCGCCCACTTTTCACCCAAGCGCTTTTGTGCTAGATGTGCCGATGTGTCAGACACGGAAGATTGCATTGTGAACTTTTTGTGTGTTGGCCATTGTGGCTGTTTGTTGTGTGTTCATAATAAGTTTTCTTCATAAACAGCTTCACCCCTCTACCCCAATCCACCTTTGTGTGTGTTGTTCCACACCAGAAAAGACTGAATAGTGAATCTCGCTCATACGATCGTCTCATTGCATTAAAAAGGTCTGAACATCTACCTTGCATCCTACCCAAATACACACAAATACATGTATAGATCTAGTAAAAGTATTCAACAACTACCTTAGTCACCACCAGTATCTCAAGGTGCAACGACATAAAAAAACAAGATTTGAGAGAAACTATCAAGTATAATTACTGTCATATTTATAGAAGCCAGTTTTCCAACAGGTTACCAGGTTAATAATCAATGAAAAGAAAGTAGATACGCTAATCTGATATCTGCGCTCAAGTAGTTGAGAGGCTTGTAAACTCGACAACACGAACAATATGGCAATTAAGGTTTTTGACAAGGTATTTAGATGGGGGATCACTGAAGTTTTTCCTAGAGTAGTACACATTACTCTTTGCTCAAATACTGGTCTCTGTGTTACGATACACGTGACGACAAAGTGATTTCTGCAGTTTGTTTATGACAACATGGAGGATTGATATGTCTACTTTCTCGTTATCTTTGATTTAGTTAATGTCATTTTTTATGTTTAAGCAGTCAGATTTCCTTTGTTCCGCGCGGTGAAATCCTTGACCACGTTGGGTTTTTTTTATCGTTGCACCAGAGAAGATAATAGCACACAATCTGATGGATGATTGCAACTCTGTGGAGGGCTTTTCTTTCTACACATTTTCAAACTTTTCGAGGAAATTCTCAGCTTCAACGTCTTCGTCGGGGCGCTCACCCTGTCAT